TCTGTTCTTTTAAGTATTTTGAAGACTAGAAACTAAGATGACGTCATCATCATAGTCTTCAAATAGCATTGGTACTCCTCCCTCAAAGGCCGGCAACCCACTAAATTGGGCGCACCATAGACTCGATTTTCCCCTATGCTATAAAAAGTTTTTACTAGAAACTAAGATGACATCATCGTCAATGTCTTACTGTTCCGTAATGATTTAATCCTGGCTCTGAAACGTATTAATATTACTAATTGCACACATACTATTACTATAATAATCTATATCAAGCGGTAAACCTAATGTCTGATTTTGATATCTTCATCGGTATTAATAAATATTATAAACACGTAATAAGCATGCAAACGGTTAGCCATTACTCGAAGAAATCTACATTCGATATTATGATTGAAACAAAGTACTTCAATATGACTGGTAAGCAAGGGGTTGCAGCTCCATACAACCTTGTCAAATAAAAACATGGCGATTTCCTTCTCGTACGTTCTCTGACCTATTTGATTGCTTTCAACTTGCATTAATTGTAAATTTAGAATCATTTATGAATCATTCTGTAATCTTTATGAATACTTAAATAATATTTTTTATTAATTTATGTTATGTTATAAATCGCTGGATACACAACGTGGAGACTTGAGACTGAAGCTAACCAAATTGGAACCTATATAAAATCTCGGTGCAGCAAGCATCAAGGATCTCACTAAATTAATATACCTAGAAAAATCTTAAGTCAAATTATTTGGAATTCAGTTTTTCATTATGTTTTGAAAATTTACTTATTGTTCCGTTATTTCCTAGTGATTTCTTCCAAGTCCTATCATTTAAATTTCTTAAATCTTAAGTAAACAATTCAATTTTTTAATATACAGTCTAACGAATAGCAAGGGACCGAGTTTTATTATTTGTTACAGAGAGGTTTCGTTATATGGAGGGAAGAATTAATGTATGGGTATTAGGTTAAACCAGATAAATTTAGGGTATCGCGTTATAACGTTATAAAGAGTTTACACTGTAGGTATATTAAAAAAATTGGATAGGCAAAGGTCACACAAAAAAGGTTGGGACACACTGCACTAGTAACTATTACATATAAATATCTATAGATAATATTTTTAAGTTCGGACGTAGAGAGATACAATTAATCTCCGAACAAGACTAAAACTACTTTGTAATAAGCGTACTTGGAATAGGCAAATGGAATGGCATGGCACAAAGATTGGGAAATAATGGTCATTGCGCAAGCGAGCTCTAGCCCTGGTAAGGCGCGTGCGCAGCCCTAACAGTATGCTGGCGGTAATAGCGGGAAAGATTGCCCTTACATGGGTCATTGCACTTAAAAACTAACCTACTAATTTAATGTTTAGGAGAACATTGTAATACTTATGATTGTCTGCTTGAATAAATAAATTATTATTATTATTATTATGAGATTAGATTTATGTTTGGTTTGAAGTTCTTTAATTTAAGGAACAGGACAGAAATAATTCACATATTAATTTCAATATTAAATTACAAACCAAGAGAGCAATGGCGCACTGAAAACACAAAAATCAATACGAGAACCGATAAGTATGTAACTAGGTGATGTATCTGAAATATCACATCTGGCCTTTCCTGAAAACGTAAATCAACGCCATTGGTGGATGCGTTAAAACGAAGCGTGATCCCTGATTGGTCAGGGGGCGGGACTTATAAAATGCGCTTCTGTTATTGGCTGATCACGCTTACCCTAAGGATATTGGTGGGGACAATCATCCCTGTGTTTATTTTTGCCGTTAAAGTCAGTGAGCTATGAGGTCTCGTGTAAACCGCGTGTGGAGTTTTTATGCGGGATCACGGAATTGAACTATACGTGTTGTGTGTGTGATATTTATACAGACATTGTGATTACGTTTTTACATTATTGGAGATGGTTATCCTGTAAGTATTCAATTGTTTTTCTAATATTTTAGCTCATTATGTTTAAGGTTAAATGATAAAATTACATTTGCCTGAAACGCAACGATTACGGAATAGAGTTACCAAGTTAGAAGTTAAAGCTAGTTTTTGGCAGGTTATATATTGAATATAATAAATATAATAATACTAAAAAACATAACATAAACGCTCGCCCTGCACTCGAAAACTAATTAACAGTTTATTTTTTTTAAAGATATTTAAATGTTTTAGTTAAGGGTTCTATGATTAAGTTAAAACTTTTAATTAGGTAGGTTTAGTTCCAATTTTTCTTATTCAGAACCTTTCTGGTAAATATACCTAATCCCTAATAGTTAATTTACCCAATAAAAGAAAAGATTTTTGTTGCATTCATCTGCATCTGCTGTGACATCATTTAAAAAGCATTTAGGTTTCGCGTATGTCGCGTATGATATTTATTTATTTTTTCATTTTAGGTGCTATTATTATTATATTCTTATACCTATATATAGGTAGGTACACAATATAATTATTTGATCCAGAATCTCTAGAATATTCAATGCTAAATGCAGGATAAAAATTTCCTCCCTGACTCAAGTAATAGGTAGGTACCAATATAACGAATGAGTTTTTAGTGTTATTATGAGATATTTAGTTAAACCGACTTTAAAAACCACGTATTTATAGTGACTCTAGCATTGCAATATTTATTATTTAATTACTACTCTGAAAGAAATTTATTTTAGCACTAAGACCGCCCATTTACATTGTCTTCGTTTATTTAAACAAATCTTTCTCCTTTTCTATTATTGTGATGTAAATAAACTGTTATAATTATCTAACTTATCAATTCGATTGTGCAAATGTAGACGAAATTTCGCTATTGTAGCTACGCATTTAAAATTGTTTTTTTTTTATTAGTCGGTTATGCAGACTATTCCAAATTCATCAATTAATTGTTTGTAAAGTAGTTTTTCGTCAAATAGTGCAAAAGTAAAAAGTCGTGCAGGACCAATTTTGGTCTAGCGAGCAAAATTTATTTCAAATATCATCTAAGAATACCTACTATAAAATATAAAACATATTTAACTCGTTATAGAGACCATGATAATTGTAAATCACTCAAATCTTCAAGTGTATAATAAATCTATTTAAATTAAGTATATGGAGTTTTATTTAAATTTTAATATAAAATTCCAAATAAATAACAACCTCAAAAATGTCTCCATCGGAATGGCCATTCTTTAGCTTTATTTATTTATTAAAACTACATTTACAATATAATTTTATTATGACAATTACGGCGAATAAAAAATTAAAAACACAGAAAATATTACATTACTAAAATAAAAAAAATGGTGCGTGTACCTACTTATGTACGCGCGTAAGAAGTTATACTTCTTTGGCTTTCTTTATTTTTTTTAAATATTAAATAATTAATAATAAATATTTAGCGTTAATAATTTAACAATATTTAATATTTAGTATATTATTCATTTATTAATTAATATCAATAATAATTATTATTTATTATATTATTAATTAAATTTAATAACTAGGTATGTTTCATAATCTTTTAACTAAGTAACAATAGGTCTTTGTGAAAAAGCATTGCTAAATTTCTTTGAAAAAATAATTAAAACGCCTTTATTTGTTTAAAAGGTACTACAAATGTCATTATGGTCATTCAAAATTCTTGGCATAGCTGCTAACGTCACGCATATTCTATTTCTTTTTACTTTCTTATCTCGCTCGCGCACGCTCGGCGCCCATACTCATAATTTTGTGTCACGGTGCGCGCGCACCGTAAAATTTCACTCTCATAAATTTTTCATAACGCGCCTATGAAGTATAACTTCAAAAATTCTTTAAAGATTACGTCTAATGTAGATAAGGCACAGATAAGTAAGCTTTTTTTTTAAACTAATAAGCCCAGGTTGTGTTGGCCTAGTGGAGTTGCTGTGCCCCAATGGACTTTCTTTCTATGTGTGCATTTAACATTCGCTCGAACGGTGAAGGAAAACATCGTGAAACCGGCTTGCCGTAGACTCAAAAAGTCGACGGCGTGCGTCAGACACAGAAGGTTTATCACCTATTTGCCTATTTGATTGACAAATGATCCTGAAACAGGCACAGAAATCTGAGGCCCAGACCTAAATACATGTTGTGGCGCCACTGTTTTTTTTTTAATCAGTCCAGGTTGAAGAATAATAAGAATTATATCTCGCATTCATATAACTTTATAAGTTACATTTACACGAAGTTTGTAACTTAAATAGATGACTAAGCAAACATAATGTTAGCTTAGGGTAACTGTAAGGTGTCGGGGCAATTGGTTTTAATTGAAACTCATTGACATTAAATAAGGGATCCCATTTCAAAGCTCGGATATTTTAGTATCAAGAAATTTTAACTAACATTTTCTTTCACTTAAATTGATAACTTACTAACAGGTAGTTTTATGCTCATGGTACATTTAAATCCAAGCTACAAGTCTTGTTGCTAACAAAATGAGTAAAGGGCTGTCAGAATAATTATATATATTTAAGTTATTCAAAGATAACTCAGTATGACAATGACTTAGTTCATACAAAAAAAAAGACCTAAAGAAATAAGGAAAATAAATAAACTGTTAAACAGGTTCAAACGCGTATACCAATTAAGCAGCGCACTCCCCAAAGCTCCAACTTTTCAATTGGCTTAACGAGTCGTTGTAAAGGGGAGCTTTCTCAACGAATAACGATAAAGCAGACTAAAATTTCAATATACGTTACAACTTATAAACGAGAGGTTACCGTGGCATTCGGAAAAATATATTTTTAGCTCACATTTCTCTTGTATTCTTAACAATATAGGTATTAAAGCATTTAACTACTAAATAGATTCCTTTATAAGTGTCGAAAGCGACACTTAATCTGCGTATTTAGTACCTATGTCTTTTTATTTAAATTTACGTGATAAATCTACTGCGCGCCTGCAGCTAAATACTTTCGTTCCACATTTAATACCGTTCCAATTAATAAAGGTCGCTTTAGTGCGTATGTACAATGTATAAATTCTATTTCAGAACCAGGAGTGACATGTCAGACGGACACGCTACACCCGAATGGGACATTAATGACGCCGTCGTGCCCAGAGTGACACATTTTGACACATTTGGCGAATGGTGTGATGGGCACGTGCGACGTGTTTATCCCCCTGGCTGTGAGGAGGCACGGCGGCATGCTTCTGGCTGGGCAATGAGGAATACAAATAACCACAACGTTCACATCCTGAAGAAGAGCTGTCTCGGAGTTCTCGTCTGTTCTACGAGGTGTAGATTGCCAGATGGCTCGCGAGTACATTTACGACCAGCAATTTGTGATAAAGCAAGGAAAAAACAGCAAGGTAATTGCAATGGTATAATTTTACTAGGCTTATGGAGTTTATATGAACATAGTTTCGTGACAAGCGTGAGATAGCCGATGTTTAATAAATTCCTATTCAATGAATTAAAGTTACTCTTATTTGTACGTGGATGTAAAAATAGCGTTTGAGGTTGTCAACACTTTGCATGACTGTACCTACTTACTGGTTCACATCCATTACGAGTATAACGTTCCTGTACTATTCCTACTAATGTTAAAATGTTTAATTAGGTAAACCATGTCCAAATCGGCTCTGCAATGGCGGACGACTAGAAGTACAGCCCTGCAGAGGTCACTGTGGCTACCCTGTGACCCATTTCTGGAGACATACAGAGCACGCAATATTCTTTCAAGCAAAAGGCTCCCACGACCATCCTCGACCTGAAGCTAAAGGCGCGAGTGAAGTGAGGAGGACCCTGGGTGCAGGAAGACGAGTGCGTGGCTTAGCTCTTCTACTAGCAAGAGAAGCAGCCATCGCCGATAAGATCCTTAATGTTAAACCTGACAAGCAAATGACACAAAAGACCAACCACCTTCAGCCGCCACCACTGATTCCAGACAGTCAAAGAGGTAGATAAATCCTTTATATTGAAGTATGGTAGATTTTATTTTCAGGTCTTGTTCTTGGATAAACATTTCCATATATGTGGGCTGGTATCTGGCATAATTTTCACATGAATAGAACTATTAAAGTTGCAGAATTCGCTAAACAGAGCCTCTGTTGAATTTAAACAAAATCTCGTTCATATTAAATAATCCTTTTTATTAATTTGCATGTTTTACTCAATAAAGATGAATTAAGTTTTTATGATATCACTAATATATTGTTACTTTTACAGGCTTAACCTGCACGTGTGGACCATTTGAATGCAACTGCCGGTGGCGTCCCGAAATCTCAAATGAAACATTTACGACATCCACATGGACGCAATCCGAACAACCTTACACCTACGTAGCGCCTCCAGTTTCAGCCCCACATCAACAACCATACGACCCCAGTACTCTACCAGCTGACGACATCTTCCACCCCGAGGAAATTTTCCAACTAGATCAACCAATACGACTCGATTTCCCAATGGAAGAGAACACCCTCGAATCTCCACCGACGTTCGCCGATTTAAACAGTGAAAATTCAAGGCCCGAAGATTCATATTGGTTTGAATGGCAACGAGCGGCCGGGTCCGAGTCTAGCGAAACCTCATCACCGGAGCTTTTTGGAACCGGATACCAACTGGAGTACTGTGACCAACAGGCGTACCCTCAGCAATATTACCCAGAGGAAGCACAGTACTATCCAATTGACACGAGAGAATCTCCAGTGGAAATGGAAGACCAACGTTTTTACAGATATAGCCAGGATTGTTCCCAAGCCAATGCAGAGATGCACGCGTGGAACTATACGGATTGCGCATTCAACACTCTTAATACGCAGGAGTGCAAACAGTATTACGACGCCCAACACTCCCAAGCCAGCACATTTGGTGGCTTATTATAATTTCCTTATTCTTGATGTTATTAGATAAATGTGTATATAGTCTGTTATCGTGTAAATATGAGTTTTGTTCTCGATTTTTGTGTTTCGCGTTAGTCATGTTCTTATCTGGACCTATTGTAAGTGTTAATGAATGATGAGTTCATTTGAAGAAAAATGCATTTTTATAAAATGTCTATTTATTGTATATAAAAATTACATTAAAATTATCAATTTTACATTTCTTTTATTCACTAAAGATAAAATTGGTCACTACAAACTAGTCCATAAGCGATTACACGATAAAATTTATTATGCATTCGTAATCGCAAAATATATGTACCTTACAATGACTATAAACATTATCAATTTAACAATACACAAAGATTTATTAAAATTTCCACACAAATCATTTTAATACTTTGCATTCTCACTTTCATACACAATAAAATATGATTCCCGGGAAATATTGATAAACTTTTGTGTTATTTCAACAAACAAGACCGCTTTATTTACAATAACAATACCAGAAGAACGTCTCGACACGAATTCCTAACTTAAAAGCGAACGAGGGGAAACCATAAAAAATAGACATACATATCGTGTAGGATTGAGTATTGTTTAATAAACTTATATTAAATAGAATTCGTGTCATCCCATTTCACGTAACATCATAGACTTAACCGAGCCAATAAACGCGAACTATAGCAAATTGTGTATTAATAAAACCTTAGAGCTACTAATAGACAAATCGACGAGTTCAGGCCAGTTCTCTTTGACACACGTATACGTATCGTACGTTACAATTAAGATACAACCGAAACAGAACTGGCTATTGCCATTACCAACCGATTCACTTACATTATTATTGCAATAGGGCCAAAATCAATCAACGTCAATATCAATGACGTAATCGCAAATGTACCAGTGCGATGACTTATAATATATAACGACCCGAATTAACACATTCGCAATAGGCCCCGTAACACTAAAGAGCTGTCCATGTACTATTTTAAAATCGGAGCGAGAGCACAGCACGTACTATCACAGCATCGGCGAAGCTGAACGATGCCTCTAACTCTAAAAACCCGAATACGCGATTAGAGACATCCCCAACTCAAACGGGCCGATAATATAAGGCCACAAACAAACAACACGAAGCGATGCCCTCTCCCAACACTTTGCGCATTAATCTAAAATTTACATAAGAAAAATTACGGACGCAAGAAACCTGTGCTTCGATAGCTAGTTCATACATGCTAAATATCACAAAATAACGGAAGCTTAGTCGATGTGACGACCAAAATAGCATGTACCCACCAGCCTAGATCTGTGAAATCGTTACATTAAATTAAACTACGTCTAGAATAGAACTAGTTTCAAAGAGTTCAAGTTGAAGCGAGATCACGTAAGCGTTTTTATTAAAGTCCGACAAAGACGTAGACGTACGTATACGTCACTGTACGTCTCTACTGCGCGCCGTTACGTACACGAGCAGAGATTGAACAGCTTTTAGTATTTAAAGTTTCAGACGTGTACGTGCAGGTATACGTATATTGTATGCTAAGTCTTCGTGGATAATGAACCTAACGCTTAAAGAGTGTAGACTGGACACGAGGTCCTTAAACTATGACTTAGGTTTCAGTAGACTTAAAGTAGGACAAATCTTAAAAGTGAAGATACCTAGATTTCTATAAAGATACACAGCTACGTTTACCTAAATAAAATAAAATCAAACAAAAAATAATTGATTTTGTGCCGTTTTAATGTGAAAATAACGATAAAGATTTATTTTTAATTTACCGCAAATATATAATTAAAATAAAAGCAACTAAAATAATTTGTACTATTCAAAAAGATCACGAAAACAATTCGAATCTACGATTTTAAGATAAATAGAAATTAAATGTATAATATTTTAAAGATTCAAATCAACTAAGTACATGCTCAAAACGAGCAAAAATTGTGAATTTTAATAATTCAGAAATGATATTTTTTTTCAATGGAAGACGAATTAGGTGGAATATTGCCAATTTTGTGTTTTTTTTTTGTATACACATACCCGTAGTATGCCAAGTGTTAATTTTGACGGTAAAATGATATTTAAAAATATATATGCAGATCGAAATCCTGAAGAATCTCAAATCGGCACTATTTCTAACACATTTGAATCACGTTGAAGTTAGTACGAACAATACGTTAACATCAAATTAACAATACATTTTTGTATGGAAAATCGCTGCCAGTCAAAAATTGACAAAAATTTTGTTTATTATTTCCATTTAACTAAAACTCATATAATTGAAAATATCGTAATGTTCGTGCTAAGCAAATGTATAACTTCGATAACAATATAAAAATGATCAATACATTATCCTTCTGTTGTTAGGTCACGGAATAGATTGAGATGTAATGGAAATATGCACCGCAAGCGGGCTGCAAATGTTAAGCAAGATTAAACAACATAGTTTTAGTTCCAGACCAATTCCAACCTTCATCTATTCGTATATACTAACTCCTTTTAAATAATGCGTTGATTGTTTTGTCTCGTTTGTACGTAACAATTCAGTCAATTATAATTCCTATTTCTGAATACATAAAGACCAAATTATACCAACAAAAACAGTAAATAGTCCTCGCAGCTGTCCTGCTGCTTTTAAACTCGATTCGAAATCGACACCGCATTCGCACGAACGTATACGTCAACTGCAACGTATACAAAACTGCGTACAAAGTTATTGGTAAAAGGTATACGCACAAACAACTTCATACTCAGTATACATGCAAAACGTATACGTACAAACATATACGTTAGTTAGTGTGCGAATGCCGTAAGGGTAGCGTGTGCGGACGTCAGGGGGTCGCTTCTTCGGCCAGTTCTGATTCTGGTGGCACGGAACCACGTGCCACTACGGCCACTGAGCTCACAGTCAATTCCAATGGCTCCGGACCGGCACATCTTCCTACACTGCATTCCATATCCGTTCTGAAATATTAATATACAACGTAAAGATTTTTAGGTTAATTACAAATAGTAATTCAAAACATTGTCATGAGGTGCAAATATTGACATAGGGAAGTCACGTTTAACACTAAGTTTCGACACTGAAATGTACCCTTTACTGTATTTTTAACTTTTAGACTTCTAAAAGTAAAAATTGTCCTTTGTACTTGTAAAAATTCAATATTTACACATTCATAATTTAAGACTTTATGTATATATTTGTTTAATTTAAGCATCCTCTGATCCAAGCAGATATCAAACCCAAAGGTGGATTGGTCCCGCTTGACCATGCATATCACAACGGACTTAGATTAAACCTTAATTATAATTCTATATACTAAAAGTTTACGAGAACAGTGTGCTGTTAAATCATTAAGTATAAGATTTATTTTATTACTGATAAGTCTTCATATATTATACCCGAATTTAATTCATATTAATTTTAGAAAGACCAAAAATAACATCAATCAGAGCTCAATTTTAAAAAGTAATGATAACTATAAAGAATTTTATTCAAAAAAGTTTCGTATAAAAATAAAAAAGTGCGTGCGTACAAAGTACACATATCAGAAGTGAACTTCTTTGGCAAACTAATTTTTAAGTCTTGTTCATATTTATACAAATCTCAAACTTTAGATTTCGGAGACTTTGTAAAAAAGAAAGATATGTTAGGAATTTAATTAATTTAATTGTCATTAAAATGTTAAAAGTGTCGAAAATGACTACAAATTATAAATTTATTTCTTCGATAATAAAAGTACGTGGCATTTTAATTCACAATTCGTCATTTGAGATTTCAATAAATTATTTTGCATAAAATATAAAATACTAATATTTCATAAATTCTCTACGAAATTTTAATTTTGAAAATATAATTTCTATGAGGCAATTCACCCTTCTCACTCTCTCTCCATCGGTCTCAATCGCTCTCTCCCTTTTCTGCGACAAAAACACTGCACATCTCCGTGACGTTTTCGAAATTCTCCCTCATGCGCCTAAAGTAGTTTCACTTCAATAAAATTGAGTTTTTATACTTACAATACACTGGCGGTAGAAGCTTGCATCTTAGTAGACTGCCATTGTTCGCTGGACTCTATCGAATCGAGCTGATCTAAGTCCGATTGTGGCGGCGCCAGCGCAGCATCACTACAAGACACGGGTGACTCCAGGTTAATCAGTGTAGCAGTCGCTACCTCCACTTTACTAGCCTCGTCGGTCGCTGAACTGGTCGATTGGCTTGTGTCCACTGACTTCTGCGAATCTGTCAGAAAATTTGTTAATTTCCTTTTCTATAATAACGAATTTTATATGAAATCTGTTCCACAATGTTATTTTTAATTTTGTAAGGTCTTAAATTGTCGTTAACACTTTTACAATTTCTCTAATACATATAGTTTTTGATTTTAAGGGATGACAAACAAATACAGTAGACAGTATGAAATGAAACTCAATATAAAATACCAAATACAAGCTACTCTCACAGGGATATAATAAAAAATACACTAAAGTTGAAATAATGTGACTGCAAATTAAAATTTGAGTAAAAGCAACGACCTGGTGCATGCATGAAGGTGAGCCACTTCTTGAGCGGCCTTGCGTCGAGTGCAGACAGGACGCTGTCTTTCAGTGCATCTGGAACGCAACACGTGCATTCATGCATTTTTATGTAAACGCAACACTGCAACGTATAAGTACGTACCGTATACGTAGAAGTATACCGCGTAAACGTGCAAGTACGTGATTTATACGGGTATTTAATTATAAGTTAATACTTTTCCAAAGTTATATTACAGTTGATGTACAGGAGTTAAATAGGTTTAAGGTGAACACAAAGATTATTAATTACAAAACAACTATAAAATTCTATGGTATGAATAAAACGGCAAATTATAAAAAGGCCACACAAGCTAGTATATTTAACAAAATATCTATATTAGTTTTAACAAACCAAAACGTAAAACAATAATTACAATTTACATTCAAATTGTTACCCTCTGAAAAAGTCAAATAGGCCTTTTAAATTATGAAGTCTAATTACAAACTTTTTTAGAGAATTAAATTCTAAATTGGACTTATTCCAAAGCTAGTTCTGGCTCCAAACTCCGAAGACATTTGTCAAGCATAAAATTCAATGATACTACATGGGCTTATAAAGCGAAAAGGAATCACTACAGAGTTAATCATAAAAATCCTTATGAGTACTAAAATTGTAAAGCGTAATTAGCCAACCTTGCTTGTGTCTATGATCGCAGCATTGTGGGTGTGGCGGATGAGGTTTAACCGGCTTCACTCGGACTCGGTAAAAGCGAGATCCACGGGGCATTTGGTAACGGTTACCACTCTAAAAAAGAAAATATTTATTTAATTCAATTCTAAACATTTTTTATTAAATATATTCTTAAGTATCGTGACATAACGCATGTGCCTTAGTTGCTTATTCGACTCGACTGTGGTTTACGAATTTTCGTTAAACATTCTCCCGAAGTGGGATGGTCAGGTCAAAGTGGGGAATAGAATATAGATTTAATAACAACTGTGGCACATGCGCACGGGCATTCTTCGTTTAATTTTGAGGTGATACAGTGTATGTAAAATCAGTAAGTGAAGTGAATTAATAAATCAAGTAAATAACAGAGGTTTTAATTTACTATATTGATCTAGTCTTTATTAATAATAAAAGTATCCAACAGCATTGCCAGAATGTGAAAGGGCATTTGAGTATTTTTAAAGAACAAGAACTGGCTACCCAAACCGAGGACTTCCATAACTGGGAAACAATTTTTTTAGATTTTGTGATAAGTATGAAATATAAAACCAAAAATATCAGCGAAGTAGTCTTCCAGAATAAGATTTTTGTATAAATACCTTTTTAGCATAACAATACTCCTTGGACTCAACATTGGCCACAGCATAGAGTCGTCTCTCACTCTCATTCTTCACGTGAATACAGAGGTCCAGAGCCGGTAAGCAATCACTGTGCACGAAGTACATTATCGATGCTTCCTGGAATAATAAAACAGTATAAAACTTCTAAAACACGTGTACAAAGTATTGGTATGGTATATTATGTTATGGTATGGTATGGTGTGAGTGTGTCTGTGGTGTATGGTGTGGTAGGGTATGGTATATATTTACATCTTTATTGATTATTTTAATACGTATTCGTAAAATACTGATGAAATGCAGTGGGCATTAGCATTGCAATGAAGAGATTAATAGGTTTTCTGAACCTTATTACGAAAATGTGTTATTTTTAGAGAAATACCTGTAGTACGGTATAATTAAGATGTGCAGGATCCCACAGCAATAGCACTGTATGTCCGGGCAGACACGAAGACAGACTTAGGGCACCCGCAGAAAGTCCCAAAGGAGTGTGGCATTTGGTGCGACTCCTCTTCCCTTCTTCCTTCTTCGGTGACGACCTGAAAGAAAAACCTCATTGAAAAGTTATTACTCATCGTCTTTCAAACGGAAATATTAATATTTTTTCGCATTCAAACAGTGACGAACAAAAATTAACTACTAATAATTATGTTACTTATTAATCGACGTCCTTGTACGTATATCCACATTTGACAGACTTCCATCTATCTCCATTGTGTCAGCCGCTGTTGTCACCTCCACCCATTTTAAAGCCGCCTCCAGCTTCCTCCTCGGCTTCCTTTTAAAGTAAAGTCATTCCGCTCTGGGACCCAAAATCCCTCCCTATTATTCCCTAGCTCAATCTTGAACGAGATCAATTTAGACTGCTTCTAATTCCTGAAGTGATATGTTGACCATTTTTTGCTACATTTCTACCTTCGTGATAACCACGAATTATTATTTTTACTTTATTACGTAGTAACTAATTCATAATGTTATTCTAACGTTTTGTAATCACACTTTGGCCTCTACACAAAAAAAACACAGTATCAATTTAATAACCACGAATATGCGAGCATTCAGTTACTAACATCTCCGATGGCATACACCAGTCACGATTTAATATTCATAATGATTTACATAAGACCTTTGCACCGTGAAATGTTAATTGAATGCTATCACATTTATTACATAGTCAGACTTCCACGCGTCCACAATATTTATAACACCAATATCTTGATTGATAAGGGAAAAAAGAAACTAGTTGAATGTGGCAGGATAATCTATGCGGATAGTTCAGCTATGAACTTCAAGTAAGAAATAAAAATGAAACAGTTTTGGAGCCTGCCACACCAGGTGGTTCGGCATCTCATGGAATAGTCCCAGCAAAAAAAAAGTACATATATCTCTTCTGCGTTAGGAAATATACTTAGGTATGAGTATAGTAAGGTATAGGTATATGGAAACTATGTTTAACAGTCAGGCGCAAACGTGGCAGTTCAAATCGAGGCGCAAATTGAGTTTTATTATTAAAATTAAATTCTAGCCTATTTTATCATCTGGGATATTAAATATTTATTTGATTTGACTTTAATTTAATAGATATTGCTCCACGCCGCCACATAACCGCCCAACCTTACATGGTTACACAAAATTCACTGAATTAAAACGACTTTTATGTCACTCATCAGTCACACTAACCACTGAAGCTGCTGATAAAGCATGTTAGGCGGGGTGCGTTAGATAAAACAAAAAAAAATAAAAATTGTTATTTATTGTAAAAAACCGATTTACATAATAAAATTGGTAAAAACCTTATAAATTCAATTGTTTATACATAAATAACACGATAATCACATACTAAAATGATGCCTCAGTCAGTTATTAACACAAACTTATATTATACATAACCCAGGCAAGGTAATTAAAAATAGCTATATTGAAGTTATACTTCTTTTGGCGCGTTAGGGAATAATGATGAGAGTAAATTTACGATGCGCACGCACACCGTCACAAAAAACCGACACCCTGAAGTTAGCTATAGTCAACATTTTAGTTTTTTCTACAAAAGTAGGATAAAATTTTTGAAAAGATTTTTATCTTGTTACGCCAAAGAAGTATAACTTCTAACGCGTGTACATATTAAGTACACACACTTTTTTTATAATTCTAAGCTTATTTATGGTCAAATAATTTTGGCAGCTCATAAATTTATACTCAAGAGTACTTTAATATTTTGTCATCAACATCCACAAATAGGATCGTTTCCTTCTACATTATATATTAAATTATGTATGAAAATTTTGAATAATCCAATATTAATCATTTCGTTATAGCAAGACACATAAATTGACCATTACCAAATTGACATTTTAAAATCATTAATAAATATTAGTATTCAATATCGTATTTCGAAGTAGAAAAATGGATAACAAAACGGCTAAAAATCTGTTTTAACACAAGCGGGTTTTATAAAAAACATACATATACGTATTCTGTACTCTATAGTAATCATCTACGATTTAGATCAGTTTTAATATTAAAATATTGTGATGAATGCGAAAATAAATGCAAAATTTGTACTAAAATCGAGACTTAATTAATACAGTAATTGACAAGTAAGTATTTTGTAATAATTAATTTTGTGATACACATTTCTATTAGAATGAAACGTTTAGAACGGAGAACACGGAGAGCGTCGGAACAGTTTCATATATTATATATTAAACGCGTTTTAATCCAGTATAACTATATTTTCATCCGTATCTCTAAATTAATTGTTAGTACATAAATCTAAAACTAAAATACAATTTGTGCTTAGCAAATCTTCTCACCTGCCTTCGCTGTCATCTTCTCTACTCTTCTCGCTGTCGTCCGTTCTCTTCTCTAGCTCTTTCTTGAGATCCGCTACTTGTTGCTGCAGCAACGCCTTCTCATTTTCGAGTGTTGCAAACTGAGAAAAAAATTGTTTTGAGCCAAATCAAACTTGGACGTAAACTTAAGTTTATTAAAAAAATCACTAATTTAACATTGTCGTCCCTTATTTATCCCAAGGTCCAAAATCTGCAATTTCCAAATTCAGTCTGTAAAAACCAACCTAGGAGTTCAAGCACCTCCTCGGAGTGGTTCTGTGGAGGTAGGATGGTGAGTACCATCACATCCCACAAAACCATTACTAAGTATCGTATATTATATTGTGTAATCCGTTTTGACTATATTTTTAAACAAAAAATTATTAATATCTTAAAAGATAAGGATTATCAATAAATTAAATAATAAGTGTTTTGTTTTTATTTCCTCGTTTCTTAGATGTAATGCGAGCTTTCTGGCAATGTGACTGTCCATGGGCGGAGGTATCACTTAACATCAGATGAGCCTCCTGCCCATTTGCCTCCTTTTATTTGCCTCCGTTAATATCTTACTTTAGGGCTCCCACACAAAACTGCGATGCGATGCGATGCGAATTTGCGATACGATTTATTGCGTCAAACCGTTTGGTAGGGCGACCATTCCTTCGAAGCCAACCGTACTGAACGTGTTTTTAAGAAGCGTAAGATGGATCGCAAAAAGATTATTGCACTGCTGTTATTGTTAAATAGATATAAAAGAAAAAGAAGATTCTGGGTTCATCCATTCATTACGATTATGAACTCTGATGGGAACTATTTTATTCAAAAGTACTATGCGTTGAGAACTGAAGATAAATTTTTTGATTATTTTAGAATGAGCATATCTTCATTTGAAGAGCTTTTGAGTATATTATCACCATGCCTTAAAAAACGATCGTACAAGGGAAGAATTCCTGTTATGCCCTGTATTCCTGACTATCAGGTAAAGTAAAACAAAATTTATTTATTGACATTTTAATTGTTTGTCTCAGAGCGGACTAAAATGGTGTCACCAAGGATGACGTAAAATCGCAGGAATGTGCGATGCGAAGCAGATCGGAAATTCTTGCGTTGCGTTCGTGCGAATTCGCAGATATTTGCGATGCGATGCGAATTCGCAGTTTTGTGTGGGAGCCCTCAAAAAAAGTTTGTTTGTGATATATTACGCAGATCCAGATAGCGTGTTGCCATATCTTAATATATATAAATTACGTGTCACGTTGTTTGTCCGCTATGGACTCCTAAACTACCGAACCGATATCAATCAAATTTGAACATCGTTTGTAGTTTGATCTAACTTAAAAGATAGGATAGCTTTCATCTCAATTTATACCCGCAATATTATTTTTTGCAAAATATTTGTTTATTATTTGACACAATTCTAACAGATGGCGCTGTGTTGAAAGTGCCAACTGTTAGTCTATGAAATGTTAATTTGGCGCCTTCAGCAATTATAGAATACATTACTTATTGTCTATGTTATATCTGGTATCTATGATTTGCTCCGTGTAATATGTATAAGCCTACTTCTTTTTTCACCATTGTCTGACTAACATTAAAATATAATTAACACATTGATTAGTAAAATACTCGTTTCATTTAACAGGTTATGGGCCCAGACCACCTGATTTTATTTAAAAACAAAATAGTTAAAGTGAAAAGTGCGAAATTGAGTTCAGTATAACCTCAAAACTCGCCACGCGTTTTCAATATTCTTCATCAGCAAAAATGTCTTCAAATAATACGATGGCACTGATTGAAAAGCTGACTGGAAGAGAAAACTATCCTACGTGGAGATTTGCAGTGCAAACCTACCTCGAACATGAGGAATTATGGAGTTGTGTCACCGCGAAAGACAATGAAACAATTGATCCCAAACTTAATACAAAAGCGAAGTCGAAAATTATCTTATTAGTACATCCCATCAACTATGTACATATACAAGAAGCTAAAACAGCAAAAGAAGTTTGGAATAATTTAGCCAAAGCTTTCGATGACAAAGGTTTGACACGCCGAGTTGGTCTGTTGAGAGATCTGATCAATACAACGCTTGAAAATTGTCTGAACATTGAAGATTATGTTAACAAGATCATGACCACTGCTCACAAGTTGAGAAACATTGGTTTTGAAGTCGATGATGAATGGCTTGGGACTTTATTACTTGCCGGTTTACCAGAAATGTATCAACCAATGATGATGGCACTTGAAAGCTCCGGTGTGACAATTACAGCTGATTCTGTGAAGACTAAGCTTCTGCAAGAAGTGAGAAGCTCTGAGTCTAGTGCATTGTATGTCAAAAGCAAGGGAAATCAGTTTGTCAAACAAGCTCAAGATAAAAATAAAACAAGTAAAGGTCCAAGGTGCTATGTGTGCAATCAATATGGGCATATAAGCAAATATTGCCGAAGTAAGAAAAAGAACAGAAGTCTAAGGAGAACACAGATTCTGGGTATGTTGCTGTGTTATCTGCAACAATAAACAACGACAATAATTGGTATATTGATTCTGGAGCATCAATGCATATGACAATGAATCGTAACTTGATTTACGATGAAATTACACCTCCAATTTCCACAATCAGAGTAGCTAATGACAAGAAGCTAGTTGTGAAGGCCTGTGGAAAAGTAAATCTTAATGTTGTCAATACACAAGGTCAGTTGGAAACTATCAAGGTACAGAATGTTCTCTATATTCCTGAGTTGGCTACGAATCTTCTCTCTGTCAGTCAGATAATAAATAGTGGCTGTCAAGTACAATTTGACAAACAAGGTTGTAAAATTTTGAATGAAACAAACAAGCAAGTTGCGGCTGCTAAAATGATAAATAATATGTACAGGCTACTTACACATAGTATTCCAGCATATATATCTGCTTCAACAGAAAATGATGACTTTTACTTATGGCATCAGCGTATGGGTCATTTGAACTACACTGACCTGAAGAAGCTGGAGACCTGTGCTGAAGGTGTGCAAATGTCCCTGAGCAGTAATGTGACCTGTATCTCCTGTATAGAAGGTAAACAAACAAGCTTGCCATTCAAAAGTGAAGGTTTCCGAGCAACAAAATTGCTAGAACTTGTTCACTCCGACGTATGCGGGCCCATGGAAGTGAAGTCACTCGGAAATGCAAGGTATTTTCTTACCTTTACTGATGATTATTCTAGAAAAGTGACTGTTTTCATTTTAAAATCAAAGTCTGAATGTCTTAATAAATTTAAAGAATACAAATGTCTTGTAGAGAACCAACTTGACACTAAAATTAAAGTATTAAGAACTGATAATGGAACTGAGTATATAAATAATGATTTTACTGAATTTTTGAAGTCATCCGGCATACAACATCAAACATCAATTCCATACACGCCTCAACAAAATGGATTATCTGAACGTATGAACAGGACACTGCTTGAAAAAGCCAGATGTATGTTAATCAATGCTAACTTACAGAAAAACTTGTGGGCTGAAGCAATAATGACAGCAGCATACATAGTGAACCGTTCACCTACACGAGCACTACATTATATAACACCTGAGGAGATGTGGAGTGGAAGGAAACCTGATGTAAGTCACATGAAAATATTTGGTTGTTATGCAATGGCTCAAATACCTAAAGAGAAAATTAAGAAATGGGACTCTAAATCACAGAAACTTATTTTTGTTGGTTATTGTGAAAATAGTAAAGGATATAGATTATTAGATTCCAAAACAAAAAATGTCATAAAAATTAGAAATGTAATTTTCCTAGAGAATAGTATAACAAGAAATGTGGTTCCTCTCTCATTGTCAGAATCAGAAAATAAAGAATCAGATCATGTAATTGAAAGTTTTTCAAACCGTGAAGATAACACCACAGATTTGTCGTCTCATACACCCGTGGATCACAGCGATGGTTCTGATGACCCTGAGTATGTACCGGAGATGTCAGTGAAGTATCCTCAGAGTTCTAATATTACACTTCGTCCTCGAAATAAAATTAATAAGAACACAGAACCTAAGACTTACCTATGCTCAAGTAATGTACCACTCTCTGTCACACCACAAACATATGCAGAAGCATTGTCATCAAAAGACTCTAACTTGTGGATGAAGTCGATTGAAGAAGAGCTGAAAGCACATAGTGATAATGGTACATGGCAGTTAGTAGAACAGCCACCTGAAGCTAGAGTTATAGGATGTAAATGGGTATTTCGTATAAAGGATGAAACTGAAGGACTAAGGTACAAAGCAAGGCTATGCGCTAAAGGATTCACACAGAAAAGCGGTATTGACTATACTGAGACATTTGCACCAACTGTCAGGTATGACTCAATTCGCTTACTTTTATCTGTTGCTGCAGAACAGAAAATGTCAATGATACAATTTGATATTAAAACTGCATTTTTATATGGTGAGTTGAAAGAACAGATTTACATGACGCCGCCAGAGGGCCTTACTGTTCAAAAAGATATTGTATGCCAGCTCAAGAAATCATTGTATGGCTTAAAACAATCACCTAGGTGTTGGAATACTAAATTTGATAATGTTTTAAAGAAATATGGTTTTAAGAACAGTCATGCTGACAGATGTGTTTATGTGGGCTGCATCAATGGTATTAAAATATATTTATTACTGTATGTGGACGATGGCTTATTACTGTCTACAGATGCCTCTGCTCTTACTCAAGTAATAAATGACTTAAAGAAAGAATTTGATATAAAGATTTGTAAATCATTACATTTTATAGGAATGCATATAGAAAAATATGATGATTATATATTTGTGCATCAAAGTACATACATTGAAGAGATGCTGAAAAGATTTAACATGTGTGATACCAATACTAATAGCATTCCAGCTGATCCGCATGTTACTTTGGTAAAAAGCACTGAGTCTGATAGCAACAACAAACGCATTCCTTACAGAGAGGCTGTGGGTTCTCTCATATTCGCTGCGATAGTGAGCAGACCTGACATCATGTATGCAGTATCGACAGTTGCTCGCTTCCTCAACAATTATGATCAGATGCATTGGAATGCGGTAAAGCGTATTTTTAAGTATTTAAAAGAAACAAAACATTTTGGACTCTGTTTCAGATCAACTCAAAGTAACATACTTGAATGTTACTCTGACGCCGACTATGCCAATGATCCTGACACCAGAAGGTCTATCACTGGTTACATCTTCATGAAAAATGGAGCAGCAGTGACGTGGAGCACTCAACGACAATCGACCGTTGCTCTGTCTACCACTGAGGCAGAGTTTATGGCATCCTGCTGTGCTACAAAAGAAGCTCTCTGGGTTCGGCAGTTAATGCTTGATATTAACGAATATAAACAGAGTTGTATTAATCTTCATATAGATAATCAAAGTGCTATTTGTTTGATCAAGAATAATGATTTTCATAAACGATGTAAACATATCGATATTAAGTATAACTTTGTAAAAGAAAAATATGCACAAAAATTGATAGATTTGAAATATGTTAGTACTAATAGTCAGTTAGCTGATATATTTACAAAAGCTCTATGTAAAGTAAAATTTCAATATTTCAGAGAGAAACTTGGTGTGATTGAGAAACCAAAAATGTAAAGCTATCATATTACTGTGTTGCTCAAGTATGTTTATATAAAGTTTTATAACTAAGCTATTAAGCTATTTAATGTTTGGTTTTCATTTGTAAGCTTTAATTGAAGGCTCAAATTTAGTAGGAGTGTTAGTCTATGAAATGTAAATTTGGCGCCTTCAGCAATTATAGAATACATTACTTATTGTCTATGTTATATCTGGTATCTATGATTTGCTCCGTGTAATATGTATAAGCCTACTTCTTTTTTCACCATTGTCTGACTAACAATAAAACATGACTGGTGTTCTCCTACCGCTTCCCTTGAATAGTTTACTACTTTATAATATAACAAAAACCTTAGCCACAGCAACGCTTGGCTGAGTCTGCTAGTTAATTATAAAAGTGGGACATATGCTGTTGACTTTTTATGGGCATTATCAAGCTCTACAACTTTTCTCTAGACCTCAATCATACATCTCTCATTGTTAAGGCAGCCTTCGTAAGAACGTTTTCTCCGACAACTACAAACAATCTTTCGCGTTAATATACAGCCTCTCACACAATAAAAAAGTTTTCAAACATCGCCAGATATATCTAAAATATACAATTGCATATAGTAAAGTTCTACGAATCGTTACAATAACGACTCATTATATATAGGTCGTATTACCTGAGTTTTAAGCAGGCTATCATAATCATTGGTCTCAGGGTCCGTTAGTTGTTGTATAGTGTCTCGATACTTGGAGCACTCCCGAGTCAGCGTCTGCTCTCTTTCCCGTAGGAGCTCCAACTGGCGATCCTTCTCTGAGAGGAGACGACGGGTCACGTCGTTTATTGTAACCTGTATATAAAGTTCAATATAGTCCGAAAAGAGAAAGAGATTTTTACGTAAACACTACGTCATTATAAATACTTCATATAAAAATTAAGAGTATATCACGCGAATGGCTTTATAGACTAGTCACACAGTGTGAACATTCAAAAATTCAAATAAGAATTTAGTAAATTTCACGTGCATTAGTCCTGTAACCCCTAAATAATCACACATTTCGCATGTCGCAATAGTATCTTCAACCGAATCCTACCAAAACAATTGTTTTCATCGTAAATCGAAACCTTGAAGGCGAAACGTTTACCAAAAATAGACTAGAAATTTGAAGAGTAATTTTATTTTAGTGAGAGTATATTTTTACGGCAAAAAGTAATTAAATATCGAGTTGAACTTTACACCAAAATCTGTTGAATTTTAAAAGCGTGGTCAAATTTTCGACAGAAAACAAAATATATGAAATAAAGGCTGATCTGTAATGAAATAAGTGCATCTTAAAAATTAACTAATTTGTAAAAAACCTGCTGGCATCTTACATTTATTTATATTATTAACACTTCGTTACATGTACAGAAATATAATACAATTAACATAATTAAATGAAAAGGAGGACAACTGGCGGCCTTATCGCTTTTGAGTGATCTCTTTTAAGCAACCACTGAAAGAAAAAAGTTAGATAAGGTAAGCAAGAAGTGCAAAAATACATAAGACATACCTAATAAAACAAAACTATGTAACAAAAATCAGGACAATACTAAAAAAAGGACACATGAAAAAGAAAAAGTGCTTTGATATCATGAATTATTATCTTAAAATAGCAAATATAACACTAACCTGCTTTTCAGCCTCATACTTCGCTTTTAGGAGAGAAATTTCCGCGTTCATCTTCTGTTCGGACTCTGTTCTACATCTTTCCTCTGCTTCTCTTACCGCTTGCTCCTTCTCAACTTCTGCATTCTCTTTCGTCTGCATTACTATCAAGTTGTGATGGCCTATCTCTATAACATCTGTTCTTTCTATCTTCTCAAGGCTCGACTCTGACGGCGAACGGTCCATGTTATTTGTAAGGGCAACAAGGCGGAACCTTAAATATGGAATATTAGTTATTTTAAATGTATATTGTAATTGTAATGTGATTAATTTTAAAAATTTAAGGATTTAGAAAAAAAATAACCATTAATAAATTGTATTCAATTATTTTGATAAACAGAATTTCGGTAAATTTTAAGAAAATTCTTGTACGGAAACGAAAATATATATAATTTATATTTATCTTAATAACATCACAAATTGCCAGAGCCATAAAGGAAAAAAAAAACATCACAAATACTAACACGCACTCACACTCACAAATACAGGTTTTGATATTTTTATGTGATATTGTTTTTTTTAAATTCTCGATCGACAATTCATTCTTGGCACATTATGACCCCCAAACATTAATAGTTAGTAAAACCAATGATTTGTCACAATTTAAAAACATCATTATTGATATAGACAACAGATTTAATATTTAATATTATATACTAAAGGCGAGATTCAAATCAATATTTGACAAATGGAATAATGGGGTGTCTGGGGTTTCTAGTCACAAAATTTAAATCTAGTTTTTAATTTAGGGGCTGAATCAAGTTAAGATTTTATGAATCAATCTGATTCATAAAATCATTAAACAAAACCATATTTCAATTATTTTTTTAAGATTCTTCAATGACAACATCTTAAAGTTCTCTGGCCTGGGTTCGTATGTTGGCACCTCTTTACTAGATGCCACTGGAGAAAAGTAGCACATGCATCTTTTTTGTAAACGCTAAATTAATAAATAATATACTCTTACTAGCTGACCCAGCAAACGTTGTTTTGCCATGTATATTATTTCTAAGAAACATTTTTTAGATCAATAAAAATAACTATCTACAATAATAAAAAAATAGGGGTCGGTCGAGCCGTTTCGGAGGAGTATGGGAATGAACATTGTGACACGAGAATTTTATATATTAAAGAAAGATATGCTAAGTATTGTTCCGTCCTTCTTTGAATGTTACCCGAGTAGTCCGTTTAATATGTTATAATATCCAGAAATATGTAATGATTTATAAATTTTTTATCACTTACCTTGATCGCATTGACTCAATCTCCGCTTTGTACTCAAGATGCATCTTCTCTTGCACTTCCTTGATTTCCTTTGCCTTTAGAATATCAGACTCTTCGAGTTTCCTTTCAAACGCTTTAACTTCCTCCCACGTCTGTTCGAGCATCTCCTTCGTGCATTTATGTTCTTCTTCTAGTCTTTCTGTTTCCTGCTGATGTTTAATCGTCAGTTCTTCCTTTTCCCGTTTTAAACTCTCGATTATTCTGTCTTTTTCTGTGAGCGTTGCCTTCATATCGCTTAGTTCTAATTCATGATCCACCATTAACCTTTGCTTCTCTTCTCTAAACCTTATTTCCATGCCTTCGTTACTCTTGCTCCAATTTTCAACAATTTCCGAATACTTCTCTCCCATAAAGCGTTTTTGTTCTTCCATATCACATTTGAGTTTCGCCAATTCTTCTTTTATTAAAACCACGTTCACTTTACATAAAGTACAAAGTTTTGTTAGGAAATCTTGTAGTTTTTCGATGTTAATTTTATGTGTGTCCATGTTGTCCTAAAAAATATTTTTTTAATTTACTCTCTTTTAGTTCTTAGCTAACGTTTCTACCCTTAATTAAATTTATAAGAAGACTAACGGTAAGTACTAGTGTGCAAGGAATTGGCTGATAACCTCTCTATTTAAATGTTGAATAAATCGACTATATAAGATGAATTTTGGTACAGTTCGAGGGTACTTATTTCTAACTCAACAATAATGCAGTTACGATAATAATCGTAACTTTAAAAAAAATTTTTTAATTTAAACTTACTGGGGTTTTCATAATATAAAACTTGTATACAGATGAAACTAATAATAATCTATGATATAAGCGCTATAAAATACTTATACTAAACAAATAACTAAATGGGGCCACGAAGACAGGAGCAACCAAAAAATTACTACATATCCGAACATCACTCAGATAAGATATTATGGCCTAAATTTAAAATAGTTTTTAATATTTCTAATTAATATGAACACTACAGTCTAAACTATATACACAAACAAGATAGCCGTTAAATTAAAAAAAAACATTTTTGACATGTTATGTATGAATCCGAAAATGTGGGTCATATAAAGGAAAGTGTTTTAATGATTTTTAAGTGTAAACTATATATTAAAGAAAAGGTTTTTAGGCAAAAGAGCAGCACTAAAGTCGACGCATTTTAAACTTAGTCGCCGGTCAATGTGCACGCAATACAACCCGTTATCGATACTTAGCTACGTGCGCACGCACTCTGACTCCTGATTGGTCGTTCGGAGGGAGCGTTCAAGTATTACGTAATAATTTTTTTCCTTTTGTAATACGTTACGATGCGGGGCGGGGATTGAATTACGCGTTATTGTTAATATTATTTTCCACTTTCCAGTACTTTACACCACAAAATGGTAACTTAGGTATAAATAAAGAGTCACTAGGTGGTCCCGAAAAGTTTTATTATACTTGGGGTGTCAATAATCTCCAAAAATTGCGTGACGTAATACTTGAACCCTCCCTTACGATTTTTGTTATGACACTCATAACATTAGTTAGTTACGCTTAGTTACGCAATACGCATAATAGACGCATATTTTCTAACATGCTTTTGAAAAAAAATTATTTTCAGATAGCGAGTTTTTTTCCTATTAATACTTAAGTAACATAATTCCATTATCGATATGCACCTCTACAATTCTTACGCACAACATTACACCTCTCCATAAGACCTGTAAGTGCAAGCGAGACAGACAGATAAATATGATTATTACCCGAAGCCTCAGTTCATAATGCGTCGACTATAATTAAGAAATACTTATGGACCTGCAACGTGCACTATACGGGCATTGCGGGGCTTTAATTTAGAAATACTATTTAATCTCTCTTGTATGTTATATAAATTTAACGGCAATCAATAGAACGGCCCTGTCTATCTCATCTGAGCGTATAATGCACCTGTCCGTGGCAACCCCACTCCAAACTGGCCGCCAGCGACTCGTCGATATAAAACTCAGAGTTGACAAATTCGTCACGGTCACGATCGCGGTCACTCGTGGACACTACCTCGGTCACGGTCGACACGGCCACGGTATCCGGAGTGCAGGTCGTTGATATGTCTATCTTCTTTGAGCCGCTCTGAAGTTTCTCGAACGTGTCCGAATCGGAACCCCTGAATTCATTACATTTTAGGTTTTATTTTAATTACAAGATCTTAGTTAAATATTTACTTGGAGTAGATTTTTAAAAATGAAAGATTTAATGCGTTGATATTTTGTCTCTACAAATTAAAAAAATATAACAATAACCAAGTTAAATTATGAACACAATTCAATAGAAAGAGACAAAAAATGTTGGTTAAAAAAAGCAGTTTTATAAGTGGGTACCTAAGTAAAGGTATGCCTCAAATTATAAGAAAACTTACTTTTCGATATCAACCTGTGTATCAATGTTTTTTTCATCAAGTTCTGAAGCTGACAATCTGTAAGTAATAACACATTATTAGTATATTACAGTAACATAATTATGGGTACAATCAGTACAAATAAAATTAAGTTAATCTTACACAAAAATTCTATACATTTTTTTTATATTATTATGAAAGTTAAACACCTTACTTTCTTCCAGAAATTAATTAATCATAGCAAATACTACTTTAGTACAATTGGAACATCGAAAATAATTAAGATAGTATGTTTATTAGTTAGTTAGCACTTCCACCAACCTCTGTTGGAAAAACTTCACAGTTGCCTCCATATCGTACTTTGGCACATCCTTGGCAAGTGCTGGGAAGGTCTGAGTCACGAAGTCCACATCTTCATTGGTCAACTTCGGCAACTTTCCATCAAAGGCTGGCGGCGCTTGAGTGGCAAAGGTCGGCGGCATATCCGTGATACCAGGGAACAGGCTCTTTAAGAAGTGACCCTCAAATATGGAGCTGAACTCTTGGCGACGATTCACTTCTTCTTCGTGAATTCTAAGGAGTTTCTCAGCTAAATCTGTAGCCCACTGAAAAGTAAATTATTTGTTAAATAACTCGTATACAAAAGTATATATTTTTTAAATATGGATGTTCATATATGTTAAAATAAATAGTTTAAATATATAAAACGAATCTATTAAAAAATTAATAAATTTTATTTAAAAAATTAATAAATTTTATTTAAAAAATTAATAAATTTTATTTAAAAAATTAATAAATTTTATTTAAAAAATTAATAAATTTTATTTAAAAAATATATTAAATGGCTGCTGATATCCCATAGTAAGTCGTTTCGTCATCGTTCGTATATTTATTTATAATACAATCTACAATATATAACAGAAATTTGGATTAAACCGGGTGTAAATATATACCTATACTGAATTATACCTTCATATGCGCATCAGAAAAACATCTCCTCCTCGACACTTCGTGCACGGCTCGAACAAAAACTGCGGGCGCTTGATGCAATTGCCAAACAATCCCGAAGTAACGAGACAAACGGCTAAGGCATTGAAAGGACAGCATCGCGTGCGCATCTTGTACGGACATCGAGTTCTCGATACGGAGAACAGCCCTGAAAAAGTCGTACGGTAAACTCTAAAGTAATTGAAATTCGGCGTTTTGATAGGGGTAGTACAACATTAAAGACAAATACGTAACATCCTTTTTGGACCACAAAATTAGGACAAAGACAAACAAACAAACTTGACGTACACACAAAAATATGAAAAGCGGTGCCGTCCCTACAACATGCGAACACGACAAGCGAAATCAAGTAGTTACAAAGTACGTTCACGTACCGATTTTAACGTACGCAAAATGGGATAATTACAAACAAAAAATGTTTTTTATGAATACTTGCCTATCAATATTAGTATTATTTCAATACCAGGATGGACTGGCTTTATTTGGACCATTAGTAAAAAAATCTCTTAGGTAACGAATACATTTAAATTTTAGGTTTTTATCAAGGTTTCAAACTGAAATAATTAAATTGTTTAATAAAAATTTACAGTCCATATGAAATTTTGTGAGCACTCACTCTAAACGCGCTTTAAGCACTTGTGACAGTTCCTCCTTGGACTTGGCTATCCTCCGTTTGATATCGACAATCTTTTCGTGCCCCACTAGGAGCTTCTCAAGTTGGCAGCAATGTGACTGCACTAATGTTTGCAGAACTGTTGGGTCGCATGCAGAGTTGAGACGATCGCGACACTGAAATAAATTAAATCAGTATTAATTTGTTAATAACCCCTTTATTCGTAAAAACTCTTTATTTGCCTCAGATTTTTGTATCTGTTTCGTGATAATTTTTTAGCAAGTACGGACACGATCAACACTCAAACACTTTATTACTGGCTTGGTAAGTAAATTAACGTGACAAGATTATTTAACTAAAATGTTGCCTGGACGAGATAGCTTAATAACGCCATTGCTCATAAATTACTATAATTTGTGCTGATTTTTAAATAATTTAAACATTTAACTCATCGAAATATATGTGTATTTGCGTAATTTAAGAATGATAATTAACACGTAAAGTTTGTTTACGTGATTTGGTAAGTCATAGAAACTGGTGCGACGCTATTTTGTCTAAATCAGCTATGGCGAGAACTTCTGACTGGTCCTTGAATTTTTGAAAGCCAATACTTAAAAGAATTAAAAATACCAATTTATGTAGGTATGGGAGCGTTCAAGTATTATTAATGAATTTTGGTAGGGGGGTCCTTTTGTAAAACGTTACGATGCGGGGTGGGGATTGAATTACGCGTTATTGTTAATATTATTTTCGACTTTTCAGTACTTTACACCACATAATGGTAACTTTTAGATATAAAGAGTCACTAGGTGGTCACAAAACGTTTTACTATACTTGGGTACAGAAAAACGTTACGGCGCGTTACATGGGGGAGGTCAAAAATTGCGTGACGTAATACTTGAACGCTCCCTATTACAGTCACTTAAAAATAATCTAAAACTATTTCTCACTAGTCAAATTCAAAGGCGATTCTATACAAATATCGAAGCACTCACTTGTATAATAGAAGCTGCCTGATCTCTCTGGTCCTTCTCCAATTTCTTGACGTCATTTAAAAGCTGATCAAGGCCATATAAGCGATCCTCGATGCCCTTAATTTGTTTCAGACCATGCAAATTGGCGTATTCAAGAATATGGCACAGCTGTGCTTCGCTTTCTTTAAGGGGCTCTGCATCTATCTGTAAGAAAATACTTTGAATCTTCTTTATCTGCATAATCAGAATCTATTTTTCTATACAAGAAATTAGTAATACTTTGATGGTAACGACCAGGGATGAGATCCGTACATAAACCAAATGACTTCTACGAGTAAAAAAAATCAGTGGCTGTTTCATGATCTTTGTCAATTTAATCGCCTTCTGTGCCTGACCTGACACACGCCGTCGACTTTTTTGGGTCAAAGTCTAGCCGGATTCCTCACGATGTTTTCCTTCACCGTTCGAGCGATAGTTTAATGCGCACATAGAAAGAAAGTCCATGTACACAGCCGGGGATCGAACCTACGACCTCAGGGATGAGAGTCGCACGCTGAAGCCACTGGGCCAACACTGGTCAAGAGTAAAACCCCGGCAAATATTTGCTATTTACGGCACGCATGAAGCGCATGATTGAATTCGTACTCAGTTAACCTTAAAACACACTTTGATTATTACCTTACCGATAAAGCGTTATTTCTAGGCAAAGTGAACAGCAGCGGACAATAACCCGATAATGTTTAACATAAATTTAAATGCGTTCATCGATACAAAAGTACTGCGATTTAGTGAAACATTCACTATATGATACTAAGCAAGCCTTGGGTTAATTCAGTACATATATGCCTTAAATAATAATGAAACAGACTCAGTAATGCCCCATGTAGGTACTATTGGGGGGTTACGGGACAGTATTTTTCCTCTTATTTGGCAACCTTGCATAGTATAAACATGTGATATTGATGTTAAAATTGCTATTACATTTGGTAATATATACGTGGTAGGTATATTGCCATATATGTAATATAAAAATAATAAATGCTCAGAGACTACATATAGACAGACATAAACAAACCAATCAATTATCTTTTGTTTAATAAAAAAGAAGTCGTTTCTTTGCGTCGTATCTGCACGCGTTTTTATAAATACATTTTGCGTGAACTTGAGACTTGAGACAATCTTCAGGGGTTCATAAATATCAGTGGCGCTACAACCTCTTTAGGTCTGGGCCTCAGATTTTTGAATCTGTTTCATTATCATTTTTCAATCGAATAGGCTAGTAGGTGATCAGCCTCCAGTGCCTGACACAGGCCGTCGACTTTTTTGGGTCTAATACATGTCGGTTTCCTCACGATGTTTTCCTTCACCGTTCGTGCGAATGTTAAATGCGCACATAGAAAGAAAATCCATTGGTGCACAGCCGGGGATCGAACCTACGGCGTCAGGGATGAGAGTCGCACGCTGAGGCCACTAGGCCAACACTGCCTATTCAGGGGTTCATGCTCCTCCATCTACGTTGGTGGCGTTGGTGTGCTGAGTTCAAGCGAGGAAGAACATTAATTAACGACGACCTGCACGGGGCGCCCTACATTGGTACTGACTGAAGAAATTATTCAAAAAGAGAAAGCATTGTCTTAGCGGTAATACTGTTTGCTTCATAGCAGAAGAAATGACGATTTCTACATATGAAAAGAGTGGCGGAGAGTTTATTGCCAGTTCTGCTCTTCCGTTCTACGCCCTCGATTTGAGAAATGGCAGTAAATGTAAAATTAGCAGCATATCATTTACAGTATTTCTTTTTTGACGTTCATAAGTGTACATTGTGTAACCTTTATGAATATATGATTTTGATTTGATTTGTCAGCACGCTGGGTACCCAGAAGAGTGCTTTTTGACGCGCAGAAACAAACGAGACTGAGAATATCACAAAGCATTGGGTTTGTTACAAGTTCATGACCAATTTTTGGTTTGAGTCATAAATATAAACGAAACATGACTTCACCATTATGACCCGGGAACGAGAAAAGTCGATGACTTGGAAGAGACCGTTATCTCCAACTCCGAAGAAATTAAAGGCGATTACATCCGCCGGTAATGTTTTGTCTGGGACGTCCAAGCGCTGGTATTGATCGAATACTGTATTCATGGAGCCACATTACTTGGGACTTTGTAAAGAAACAAAGTTACGTGAGGAAAAAACGCTCGCAATAATGTGGCAAACTTGGTAAAGTTGATTTGTTTCACCAAGATAACGCCTCACGCAAAAGTCCAGAGCTGCGATGGCTGCCTCTCAAGAAGCTGGCTTCGAATTGATGGAACATCCTCCATATTTACCAGAAGTCGCCACGGTAACTTTATCTTAAGGAAAAAAGATATACAAAGTAATAACCTAAAAGGTGACTAGGTCCAAAAATAAAATAATATTTTATAAAAGATAATTGCGTCATACTCATTATCTCTTTTTAATAAAAAAAACCCTAGTAAAAACTTTGGTTTATCCATTCTTTTTTTTATTTCTTGACGTAGTTAAAATATTTTGGTTATATAATGGTAATAGTAAACAATACAATTTATTATGTACCACCGTCCATAAGCTTAAATTATGTTTATAAAATAATTCGATAAATCTTAAATATTTTGCATTACTTTAACATCGCAATTAAACTGTACGTTAATTAGTGGTGATGTCATTTTAATTACTATACAAATGACATTAAATTAATAAACAGTTTGAGGATAATATCATCGATTTGTGTTAGTTAAATATTATTATTAACACAATAAAGACGGAATTTAACGGATATTCAAATTGGGTTAACGGGACATAAAATGGCTGATTAAAATAATCCATTGTTTCCGTTTATACACTTTTACCAGCTGACGCGAAGTATGGCATATCTTAATATATATATTTCTTCTGTGCGTGTGTATGTGACTGAACTCCTCTCAAACGACTGGACCGATTTTGATGAAATTTTTTGTGTGTGTTCAAGGGGATCTGGGAATGGTTTAGATTCACAAATCAGCCCGACAGATGGCGCTGCAGTCGGTACTTTCATACTTTGTTTAATATCTTAATCGGTTGAAATATCATGCAGGACAACGTCTGTGGGGTCCACTAGTACTTGTATAAAGATGATTACAGACTAATATTGCTATGAAATGACGTTTTGTGGTAGGAGGAAATTTAAGGTTTAAATGCCAAATCATAAAAAAATATAAAACATTTTACGACCTATCAGACCAATCAAAAATACATTAAATTAAAAACGCGCAAGCCGATTCAAAGGAGCTTGGTTACAAATACTGCAACGCAAGAATGTTACCTAAGATATAAATTGAATTTTTAGGTATGAAAAAAGAATTTACATAAAAAACTACAATTGTTAAGTTATCTATCGCATTATAAATTACACTCATTTGCAAAAAAAGGGGAACCTAAGGAAATTGACGTTTTAAGGTCGATTTCAGTCAATTAAATGGAATTTAATTTTCTGACGTAGTCTGTGTACGTGTACTTTGGCATTTTTTAAATTAATTTTTGATGAATTCTTGACGATGTACACGGCAAAAATAATATGTGGTCGGCATTAAAGGCATGAAGATTCTTTATATAATCTCCTTAGGTACCCGTTTTTTTTGAAAATTTTTAAGTTTAGGTATCAATGATAACATTTATCATTTTATTTATTTATTTTAAAGTGAGCTGTGAGTCAAAATCAACAATTTGATTTTGTGAGAATTATAATAATACTGGTGTATTAATTATGAGTAGTTTTCCTGACTGAATTGGAAACCTGTAATTTCCGTCCTGGGTTGATTCAGGACGAAACACAAAAACAGACGTAGAAATGTCTTTAAAATGACTCTATGTACATACAAATATTTCGCTTATTTAGGAGCTCGCGAAATATTCAACTGAATGGATTTTCTCAATATATAAGTCAAAGAAAAGCTATGTTAATGCTTACAATTCTTCTTAGAACTAATAATCGAAAATATAAATTCCTCACCAGCGCCAGCGCTTTTTGACAATAGTCCAAGATATCCTGGAGCGACGCTTTATTCCCCTGAGCCAGGATCCAATGCAGCAAGGTCGGTTCCTCCTTGCTCTCAATAGAGGGAGCCTTGAAGACCGCTTCGTCCGATTCCTCGATCTGCACGCTCGCTTCCACATTACTTGTAGATGCATTCTTTTGTTCGAAAACTAGAACGATAACGATATCTTAGACGTTTTCATACGTTAGGTATATGTAATATATCTTTATTCAGAAAAAACTAAATCTTGTCTAATTGCTGTGTATAAAACAAATATTAAGTTCACTACTTTTTTATTTGTGTCGATTCATTTATTTAAATACGTTCTTTAATTTATAGGAGTTTACCGTTTACCGGTCTGAACATTAAACGTTTGACAGTTACGAAAAACATGAAATTTTTCAATATTTACAATAGATATTCTGCTATTCGGGACAAATCAAAAACCCAGCGTTTTTCGTGTGTGTTCGAACAAACCCAACATTGGTTTACATATTAAGATGTAGCTCAATATAGAGGTAATGGGACGTAAAATAAAAAAATAAATCATAGAATTGTAATACCATTTAACCTAATATAGTGATACAGTCAAAACCGTTTACGACGACATCGTTTAGAACATACCGGTTATATTGACCAAAATCAAAGGTCCCGGCTGAATTCTATGTATTAGGGTACTTAATAACAACGCCATCGGCTGTTAAGACTATCGGTCTTTAAGATCAAATATGAGTAGTCCCTTCGATGTCGTTATAACAGATTCTGACTGTAATTGTTTTTATAATCGTGTACGCGTCTTACGAATGCAGTCGTAATAATTACGATTTGATAACTCAAAAACTGAAATAAGCTATGAGGAAATAATAAAGATGACGTGTAAAATAATTTAATAATGACAGATTCTATTTGAAAGACGTAATTATAACGAGGTAAATTGTTTTTTATAGAAAAAATTCTGATTAATAGTCCACGATTTACAAGGTCGTGAGAGTTCTTTATTACGCTATACTTACGTCGTTTCTAGTCTAGAGAATGTTAAGAATACCAAACTTATGGGAATTTTTCAAATACTTTCTATATTATAAAAATCTAAACATAATTACACATATAACAAAATTGGTCTGCATTCTCAAAGACTTAAAAAATACCGACGGAAATGAATGCGATTTTCATCAATAGGTCAGAATCTCTTCAACCAATTCAGGCAAAATCTTGGATATTGAAATCAAAGTAATCTTTAAAAAAAAACTAAATCGTATTGATAAGTTAGTAACGAGGCGGTATTTTGGATGTTAATCAGAGCTATCCGGAAATGAAGACATTATACATACAAAGCATCTTGGGTAATTAGAGCATTCGTACAATTTAATTGCCTGTGTTTGTACCTTAGCCATTGTATTTATAAAGTATCAATCTTTCCTTATACTAACAACATGTTTACTATAAATTAAAAATGACGTGTATGACTATACAATATTTAGGATACAATACATTTGAAGTATTCAGAGCTCGGCTCAATCTCATCAATTGTGTTCGATAGAGGGCTCAAGTAATTGTTTCGCTCGGATTAAGCAACTCATAATACACTACACCTAGCTGATCTCACCAAATACACAGCATAATTTTTTTTCCGTGATAATCGGTTTTGCTGTTGATGTTAACGCGTGGCCAGGTAATCCCCATGATTTTCTTTTTGGATTGTCGTAATGTATCCACTTCTCATCACCAGTTACGATACGATGTAAAAAACCCTTTTTTTTATATCTAGCTAGCAGTATTTCACTTAAACATGGCAAACAACTAGGCGTTCAAGATCTCTCGGCTTTAATTCGTTCGGAACCCAATTTCCTTGTTTATGAATCATTCCTAATGATTTTAAACGATGTGAGACTGCTTGCTAAGTGACTTCTAATGTTATAGCAAGTTCTTTTTGTGTTTGAGATGAATCTTCCTCCAATTCTGCATCCTCGTAAATTTTTGGCCTTCTACTGCAATCTTTCTCTTCTAAGGGCCAGTTTTTTGATCCGTAGTAAAAAATGGTTTTACCATTTGTTACATTAACTATAGTTAAATGAATAACCATTGGTAAAATCGTAAATGCGTTTTTCAATGCCTTTTTTAACTATAGTTAAAGTTAACAATTTGTCAATTTGTTGCCAGTGCAATGAGCAATGACATCCCAAAAAATGTGGTTCTTTTTTGTGGGGATCATTTATTTTGTATGACAACACTAGACATATTGAGTGAATGAAATCCATTTTTGCCATCTTCATTCGTTATTTGCGCTTTGAAGAGTTTGAAGTGTCAAATTAATCTAAATAACACGATATAAATAAAGTTGTTTTTCTGTGATTTAATACGGTTTACACTTTTTACGATACTTAAATATATAAATAACGATGTCCGCAAACAGCCAACGGTCAAATAAGTAAGTTCAAACATATTTTCGTGTTATTTATTCCGGTTTATCTTGTGTTTCGTAATAGAAAGTAATACATTTATGTTTTGTTAAAGGGACCATACTGCTAACTTCGCCAAAAAAGAAACTGCCAAACTGGTGATGCTTCTCAAGGATTACACAGTCGTAACCTGCAAACAACTGATCACTGCAGCAATCTACAAAAAGATGCAGCTTGGAAATCTCTGTGACGTTTTCAACTCAGATGGGTCTAGACACCGAAGTGTTAAATTTAATATACATTTAATGAAGGTGTAGGCACATTTTTATATTTATTCTTGTATAGCTGTGTCCTACAACAAAAGGAAAAAATCTTTTAACCCTTTGGAAACAAGGAAGCGGATTATGATCCACACGGATAAAAAAAAATTGAGTTTAGAAACAAAGACAAATAAGAGAGGATGATTTGTTCAATTATGCTTAAGAAGAGCATCAAAAACATTTGCTGCACCAATGAGAGGCCCACCAAAAATTCATACTGCATAAAGAGGAGGTGCACCAAAAAGTGATGCAGCAGATGGAAGAAAAGCACAATAAATATATGTAGCAGCAAAAAGAGTTGCATCAAATTGAGGTGAAATGCAAGAAGAAACAATTAGAAAATATTTAATTGCTACTTTAGGGTTTCATGTAAATTTTGTTATGTTTTTTTAATAAAAATGGTTTGTATTTAAGTTATAATTAAACAGTTTATTAATCAAGTCAAATGTTTTATTTATAAATTCTTGTAATAAAGTAGATAGATGCTAACTCACAAATGTAATAAAAGCCCTAAAGAATATCATAGGTCCCTAACTAATGTGTAGCTGTAGTTTTTAGTATAAGTACATACTTGTATGTACTTATAATAATTATAAGTTAATATTATTAGTAATATATAAATAATATTAACTCTAATTCATTATGTATTCTATTGCCTATAATATTAACTTATAATAATTATAAGTTAATATTATAGGGAATAAAACACATAATGAATTAGTAATATACTTAATTATATACTGCTGCGGTTCTGTAGCTAGTAATGAAGCAAAATAGGTTTGTATGAGCTGCTGTCTATATATACTCTTGTTCTTGTATTTTATTTAATTATAATAATTATAAGTTAATATTATAGGCAATAAAACACATAATGAATTAGTAATATACTTAATTATATACTGCTGCGGTTCTGTAGTTAGTAATGAAGCAAAATAGGTTGGTATGAGCTGCTGTCTATATATACTCTTGTTCATTGGCAGTTTAAGATCATTCCCAATTTCAGTAACAATCCAGAGCACTGTTCCCTTCGATAGGGGGTAACAGTGACAAAAATCTACATCATCCCAGGTTTCTAATGGCGGATGACATTGCCTAAATATTTTTGGTCACTCATTAACACATTCTCATATAATATTATCGTCTTCTTCATCGTCTCATTAATTAAAGTATCTCAATATGTTTAAATTCATCATTAGATAGTAATAAACGTATTTATCATAGTTTGATTTCTGTGACAAACAGCTGTTAGTATATAAATTACCAGCGGCCATCTTTTTAACCCTCCGATACTGAGTAGTTAACTTTTTTGACTAATGGTTAGATATTTTACCATTGGATGCTCTTACCACGGATCAAAAAACGCATTTTGCTGATATTTAACTAATAGTAACGATTTTTTACCAATAGTTGAGTTAACTACGGATCAAAAAACCGGCCCTTAAATCACCGTTTTTAAACTTTTGAAACCACTCACGACACGTTCTCTCTCTCAAAGCACCCTCACCATATGCTTCTACGAGCAATCTATGCGCCTCAGCAGCAGATTTCTTTAAATAAAGAAGTAAACTAATATTTCCCGCAAATGACGCTTACTTGGCTCAAATTTCGACATTTTCAACTAATAAAAATTATATTTTACCAATATTAAATCAATGATATTAATGAAATATATATAATAAAACTATGTTTTAAGCCGGTTATCATCTCTCTACATTAAAACGGCGGGAACTTATTTGTACTCTTAATAATAAAAGTATTTTCTCATTACTCACCATCTTCATCAGATAGCTTAAACACTCCAACACCAAAATCTTGGGGGATTCTATTTTCAGAACTTGTGTCTGATCGCGGCTGACTTCCATAGTGATGAGCCTCAAAGTCTGTTTCTTCGAAAACGTCAAATGCCGAGAAACGATGCGCCTCAGCGTGCAATTGAAGCGGCGTGAGAATTGGAATCTTGCCCAGAGATTCCAGCACTTCATTCAGCCTATATATAATAATAAAAATTTATTTCGGATACAATTATCTATATATAGGAAATAATAGTTAACAATTTAATGTTATGTTGGTATTATCTATGTTTATTACTTTATCAAATATAGCCTTGCAGTGCTGTCAAAAGTAGGAATGACTATCAAGTTAGAGGCGATTAGTTACAAAAATGTTAATTTGAGAGAAACTTGGAAAATCAAGAGGATAAAATACATGATTTAAAATAAAGTATGAGCAATGTAAGTAAATATTGACCGAATTTAATAAAAGCATACAAGATTAATAAAAAAAATATATTGATTACTTACGTGTTTAACATTTCATGATATTCTTCTTTTTTAATACGATGTTTCTTAAATGACTCCTTAAAACTGCGAGAACGTTCACAGAATTCATTAAAAATATCTTCTAAATTTGCTACAACAGCTGCCCAACCCTAAAAATTAAAAATAATAATTATACCAGGCCAAACTTAATAAATACAAATATATAGAGAACTTGTAATGGCAAAATTATAAGCATTTTTCCAAATGTCTCACCTGATGTTGCAAATGCTGTTCATGTACTAATTGTTCACAATTCCTGGAGCCTTCATGAGCCAATTCACTAAACTCTTTTGCTAACGACGCACACCTTGATACTGTGCTAACATTTGGCTGAAGTGAACAACAAACTTCCACCTCATTCCTTAATTCACCAACTGATTTTCCGTCATAGGCACTTGAGTCACTACGGAATTCACCCGAGCCCAACTCAACTATAGGACTTAGATCACCAACCACTAAAAGTGAGAAAATTATTGTTCTTTTTGCTTGGCTTGGAGAAAAGAATATGAAAGGATGATCTTAGAGTGGAAAACTTCTGGTGTAGAAGTATTTTAAGATATACTGGAAAAAGTGTAGATAATAGTGCAAGAGAAAAAATTTAGGATGCAGTAATGTCACAAAAAATAAAGCATCTAAATTTATTAAAAATCAATAAAGCTTATTATTATACTTATGTATAAACAAGTTTCTGTCTACTACAAACTAATTTCCTTGATTAACACCACTTACTGGATTGCTTAATATGACTCTCCTTCACTGAAGGCTTACTAAACATATAAATAGGGTTTGTATCTGTCCCTGCACTATATGATGATACCATATGATCTAACTGCAAGACTTCCCCACCGCTAACAAGCAGCACAAGAGATTGAGCTGGTATTTTTGTTTTCCTTTCAATAGCAGCCCTTAGACTTGCCACACTGAAAATAATTGAAAGTAAGATGTGTGGTAATAGGGCAGTGCATATAATCGGTAGATTGTTAGTCAAATCTGTTTGGTTAAAAATATAGACAGCAGATAACCATTAGGTTATCTTAGCAATTATGCTTATTTACAAAAATGATCAATGAAGAACGAAGAACAGATATAAATATTTGTACCCTGCTGAGTGTTACAGAACTTCCCTTTGTTATATCATATGAAACTGTATTTACCTTTGTAATGTGAGATTCATATCATATGTGGTCATTAAACCAGCATCAACATGGAAAACATACAACATGATTGATAATTTTGGTAAAGCTTCTGGTCCAAAATTATGTAGTAAGTAATGAAGCTGAAAAGAAACACTCATTGATTAAGGTGATATTTAAAACTAATATTTAAATAGCAACAAAAATGCTTATGTCAATTTAAATACAATATTAAAACTGAATCCATCTTCCGATTTAAGAGCTAGACAACATAATGTAATAAAAAATTTATATGACAATAATATATTCTAAAAAAATAACACGATCATAATAATTAAAGCTCCATACTTACGGAAATACGTAGTAATCTATTTTTACTAACTTTAATACAAGTTACTAGATTGTCTGTACTAAGAACATAAAAAATATATCACATAAGGAAATTTAAGCATCTTAAAAAAGTTCTACGTAAAATCGTTTGAAAAACAAAGACTCGACTATGAACTTACACAATTACATCTGTGATTTGACAGCCATCACTTACTGAGCTATATTTGGAAATTTCTTGCAACGAAGCACTGACTGGTTTTGCGACTTATCATTGTGTACATTGTAAATTAATATCTAATATATACAATTGTTCGTATTAATTGATCCAACGATCAATTCTAATATTTACTGTTATTGAAAAGTCAAATCTCCGCCATATTTTTTTATTTAAAAGCCAAATTATTTCGATCTATTTGTCAAATAGAAAGTGTCATAAGTCAGTTGTCAACACAACATTCTCCATCATGTTCTTTTCAAATTAATATAAAAAATACTACTGCTAATACTTTTATAATAATACTTATTTTTGTAGAATTGCAGAACTTAATTCAAAATTTAATATTGTCATTAAGGTTTCTGCTACCTAAATTACTAACTTATGGACATATTTTATGTATGTTCATACTAATAATTAATAGTCTGTTTTTCGTACATTTATAATATTATAATACTTTTTAACCGACTTTCAAAAACCGAAGGTTATCAATTCGACGAGTAATTTCTTTTTTTGATATGATCATGATTATAAGTCCTGTCAGTTATCTGCATAATAGGGGGTTTACACGGGTGACTAAAGCCGCACGATTTTTGCCGCGCGGCGTACATCGACCATCTAAATAGCAATTCGGCTAAGTCGCAAGTGACTAAAGCCGCAAGCCCCAAAGTTGGGTAGCATCCGACTTTGGCCGCGCGGCGACTGGCCGCATGCGACTGGTGACTAAAATCGACCGTGTAAACGATTAACGATCAGTTGCAGCCAAGGCGATCGCCCGCCGCATGAAGGTGTTTTGGTTTGTATAAGCGGAGTAACCTTATGTAGTAAAGTATTAAACTGATCAGTAGTCATTCTTAATCGTTTTTTAAAATAATCAGGATCTTCTAAACTCCACTCAACCAATAAAGTATCCGAAGCACCCAAGACCTTATGTCGAGAAATCCATCCTCGTACCCAAACATTACGTTTTCTTCTTTCCTTTTGTTTTTTCTTCTCTCTTTGTTCTTTAAGCAATTGTTGAATAATTGAATAATTAATTATTTCAATTCCGGCACAAACGGCTATTCTGCTCAACATTTTTGATGGAAATGACCGAGCCGCATGCGATTTTAGTAACCTGTGTAAATGGGCTAGCGATGCGGCTTGGTGAGGCAATTTGTGAAGCGACTCGCCGCACGGCGAAAATCGACCCGTGTAAATACCCCATAAGAAGTACCTATACTACTAGTAGAAATTTGTGTACCTCATAACCCGTACATAGGATCAAAAATATAACCCAAATTGCCTTCCCTTCCATTAATATGGCGGCAAAAAAGAAAGGAGCAATATTTTCGTCCGTCCCTATTTTCGCACCGTTTATATTTATCCATACCTAGTCTAGATAGATATTGTAATAAAACGTCAGCAGAAGATTGGATCTGAATATTCATTTTCGCTCGTAATTTAAACCGCAAACTCTTCGTTTCTTTAAAAATCGAGTTCGGTACCTCACAGCGAATCTCACGACAGAGACAGTAGTATAAATATATAAGGTAGTGTTGGTAAACAAGCCTCTGGCATTATTCATATACTTAACAACGTTGTGTATATGTATATCTGATAACACTCTAAATAGGAAAAAAATTCTCAGAGCGCGTCGCTGGCCCTAACCACAGCTATCCCAGGTTCGTAGGGCACTTTGAATAAAATAAGACGAAAGAAAATACGGATTTATTTCTGTAAATAGAATAAAAAGAATGTATAAAAATTTATATTAAATCCAGTCCCACTTAAAACTAAATGTACTTTTACACAACAAATAATATATCATGACCAAAGATTCTAAATAATACATTACAGTTTCTTATTTAAACTAAAAGACATATTTAATTGAATACTTGTAACATTTTAAATAGGTAATATATTTTACGAAATCACATTGTTACTTGTAGGTACTATCACATTTCTATTCACATGTTGATGAAATATTTGGTAGATAAACCAATCCATTTATAATTTATTTAAATATATTAAGACAAGTGAGTGTATTCCCAATAAAGCATTTCTCTTATAAACTTATATTTATAAGTGACATATCATTATTTATAAGGCCTCATAATAGCACCAATTAAAAAAGATATTTATAAAATAAACAGGCACCATAATTACGAATTTTAATATTAAGTCAGTTTATGTGTAAATCAAGGTGAAATATTTGACCTCTAAAACATTTGTATTATCATAAGCAGCAAGGAAAATACTTATATTGTGTTAATAAATTGTGATGATAGTTTAGTATCTCAATATAAAAAGTTACAAACTATTTTTTTTTGTTGATATAATACTAAAGAACAGAAAAGGAAATATAAGTTAAACCTTACTATAACATTGATTAACCTTAAAATGACCTTTGTAAATTAATGCAAGTCATTAGTTAAAATGGAATGTATCATGTACTTTTAAAGATAGTTCAATGTATGTCATTATAATTATTTCTTTAGAATATTATGCAAGTACCATTTTACTGTCCCATAAAACCCCTGCCCAAAATCTATGTTAAACTTGTAAAAATTTATAGTCAAGACATTGTAGGCTTTTGCCATTTATAGGATCCAGAATACTTAAAGTCATATTCTGCTAGTTTTGAATCAGCTTCTGGTGGCCCGCGAGAGCCATAAACATATGAAATAGGCTTCACTTGTTGTTCTTCAAGTTGTTTTAAAACTGGTGTGAAGATTCGCCATGCTTCCTTTAACTCATCATTTCTAACAAAATGCATCTGACTTCCAGTGAATACGTCAAGAATAAGTCTCTCATATGCATCAGGGACATCAGTCTCTTTGTAACGCATACTATATGTCAAATCTAATTCTGTTTCCATCAAATCAAACTTCATACCTGGTGATTTACACATTAGCTTTAAATATAGTGCTTCACCAGGTTGGACTCTAACAACTAATTCATTTCTTTTAGTATGACCTTCAAATATGTCACCAGGCACATCTTTATACTGAACCCTCACTTCAGCTTTTCTTTCATTCAAGGCTTTTCCGCAACGTAGAATAAAAGGTACTCCTTCCCACCTAGAATTGTTAATATAAAGGGCAGCAACAGCATATGTTGGAGTAACTGAATCTTTAGGGACAGTAGGATCATCAAGATAGCCTAACTTTTCTTCTCCCCGACCATTAGAATTCCCAACATACTGTCCAACAAGTATGTCATTTAATTCTATTGGTTTTATATGCCTCAGGACTTTTACTTTTTCATCTCTTATGTCATTTGGATTTAATGTCACTGGTTTTTCCATAGCAACAAGTGAAAGAATTTGTAATAAATGGTTTTGCATTACATCACGAACAATTCCAAAGTCATCAAAATACCCTCCTCTACCTTCAGTTCCAAATGGTTCTTTGAAAGAAATTAGAACTGATGCAATATTTTCTCTATTCCAAGAGGGACTAAAGATCTGATTAGCAAAACGAATTGTCATCAGGTTTTGAACCATTTCCTTTCCCAGATAATGGTCTATTCTATAAAGCTGCTCCTCTCTGAATAAGCAAGCTAAGTGATTGCTGAGAGCCTCAGAGCTTACATCATCTCTACCAAAAGGCTTTTCAATAATTACTCGGGTATAACCTTTGATTGATATACAAGCATTTTTAATGTTCACTGTTACATCTTCAAAAACTGTTGGAGGAACAGCTAAATAAAATATTCTATTGGCTACAAGCCCTTTTTCATATTTACTTAAGTGTTGATTTAGTAACTCGTAGTCAATTCTTTTATCATAGGATCCTGCCAAGTAATCATTACAATCCCAAAATTCTTCAAATTTGCTTTCGTCTCCAGGTCGAATTTTCATATACTTTTTAGATTTTTCTCTCACTTCTTGTATAGTTTGTTTAGTTCGAGCGTATCCAATAAATTTTGTATTTTTAGGTAGAAGGTTATCTCTATATAAATACCAAATAGTAGGATAGATTTTCTTTTTTGCTAAATCTCCTGAAGCTCCTAATAAAACGAACGTATGTGGGAACTGAAAATCTTCTATGTTTTCCATGATAGTAGTAAAAATAAACAGTTAAATAAGGTTATATCCTTTTAAATATCACTAAACAAATGCGACTAATAAAACTGCGAACTTATCAACAGCACAACTATGATTAACAGTTAACCTTGCAACACACGGTGAAATCGAGATTGAAACTAATACTCATAAAATGTAATTATTAAATTAATAACTATTAACTATAGATACATTCAGTGTGGCCAAGTCTGAAACCTAGCGGATGCCGGATGGTAGAATGCTTCTAAAAATACGGTAGATTTTCCGAAATTATGTTGTAATTTATATTTGAAATACGGTAGAATTACCTTATTAATTTTGTAGTTTGTTAAAAGTCAGAGTTGAAAATAAGACATATTGTTAAGAATAAGACAGTATAATTGTTTCAATATTTTTTATACATATCAATATTATGTTTTTTAATCATAGAGGGAGTTGGATTAAAATTAATACAGTTTTCTCCGTGTCGCTGTATAGGCCATACAGCGATAAAAGATTACCCTTGATGGATACCTTTTTTGTTTTGATGTCGTTATCACTGCTGAAAACTCTTTTACACTCAGCATTCGAATGTGGTAGACACAAAAAATATTCATAGAAATTTTAATGCATACAGCTCTATCGAATTCGTTCGCGTAATATCTTACAGCTGGAATCACGCTATTGGGGGATCCCTCGACGCATAAAACAGTATTGTCAGTAGAATAAAACGAAAATACTTTGATTTAAAAAAATACAACCTTCAAAGGGTGTTACGGTGCATTTTGCTACCGTAATTATAATCGTACGGTAGGTGGTAGATCTTTGCTGATTACAGTGTTTTCACCGTAATTACGGTGTAGTTGGCAACACTGGATACATTACAGAGGTCTGAACTCTGATGTTTACACAGTTGACAATACAAAATATGACATCTGTCATACTAAATACCTCTTTATTATGTCATCTGTGTTATAGCTTCAAAATTCTCCCAAAAAAAATACAAGAGATTTTTATATATACACTAGTGGACCCCACAGACGTTGTCCTGCATGATATTTAAAGCGATTAGGATATTAAGCAAAGTATGAAAGTACCGACTGCAGTGCCATCTGCCGGGCTGATTTGTGAATCTAAACCATTCCCAGATCCCCTTGAACACACAAAACTTTCATCAAAATCGGTCCAGTCGTTTGAGAGAAGTTCAGTGACATACACACTCACAGAAGAATTATATATATAAAGATATACATAACATGACCTTTCCGGAAAAGTAATCACATTTTTATCCACCTTAAATTTTTTGTAAAAGTTTTAAATAAATAATAAATAAAGATTAATCTGTGGTCAAAAGAATGAAAACAGATCATTACTAAGAGTATGTTTGGAGGAACGCGGTAATCTAGTAGTTGATGAAATCAAAAAATAATTGTATTGGGTTTATTACTCGATAAACGATACGCTAAATACCATCACGCTACTACCAATAGAAGCTCAGTGTGCAATTATTTATTTACATTGCATGTGACTCCAAGTGTTTTCTCGCTTGATTCTGGTCAATTTGATTTTGATCACGCATAGTTAATGCTGGTGCCATCCTAAATTGTTGGGGTTTACCGATTTTAAGCCACACAAAATTCTTTAATGTCCGTAGAGCTAGTCGCGCGACGCACACGGCTTCGAGATTTGCACTTTACATCTAGGAATGCAGGTAACTATCTTGTTTAAAGATCATAAAATCATCTGCAATTCTGCGCTCAACAAAAACAGTTATTGTTCTCGGGGCAAACGGAGCAATTCAACAAAGGCACCCCCGTCACAAATGTTAGGGGGCTCAATTCCAATATCAACGCAGTCCACTACCATTTAGAGATTGCGAAGCCGGCCTTGCTCTTTCTTACCGAGACTCAGATTACCTCCCCGGCTGATACTTCCTACCTCTCCTACCCGGGGTACAAATTGGAACATTCATTTGTGTCGCGGGTGGGAGTTTGCGTGTACGTCAGAGAGGATATCTGTTCTCGTCGCCTCGGGACGCTTGAAGGAAGGGACCTATTTAACGCCCACCATGCCGATTGGCTCGGCTCTGAAACCACCGATCACGCGGGAATATTCTTTCACGACTTTGCTTTAGCCTGACCTGACACAAATGGTCCCTGCGATTACGCGAATACCAGATGTGGATGGTCATAAACCCTCTTTGTTGGACCTTCTGCTGACTTCACATCCGGAGAACTATCAAGTCTCTGTTGACCCGCCATTGAGTTCATCGGATCATTGTGTGGTCTGGAGTACTGTGCCATCTAGGCGCCCTTCAAGGCCCCGCTTTATGGGTTGTCGCCGTATGTGGCACTATAAGTCAGCAGATTGGGACGGGATGCGGTCTTTCTTTGCATCCTACCCTTGGGGGCCTATGTGCTTTTCGCCGGAAGGCGTTATAGGCGGTTCCGTCGCCGCCTCTGTCGCCGAAGTGGTTCGGCAGGGCATGGAACTCTTTATTCCATTTTCTGCGGTGCCGATCGGTGGCAAGTCTCAGCCCTGGTTTAAACGTTCTTGCAAGGCGGCCTCGCGTCGAAAGCGAGAATGCTTTAAGGCATGGGTGGAAGCGGCGAAATCTCGTGATGCCAATACCAGCGAACTTAAAACAGCATATATCTCAGCCTCCAGGTCCTTCAAACGGGAAATCACTAAGGCAAAGTCAGCGCACATTGCCAGATTCGGCGAGAGATTGGCCCAACTCCCTTCAGAGACTCGAGCCTTCTGGTCTCTCGCCAAAGCTGTCCAAGGGAATTTTTGTCAGCCCGCCATTCCACCACTGCACAGAGGGATGACTCTCTGGCCCACACTGCGAAGGAGAAGGCCGACCTTTTGGGCTGTCTGTTCACGTCCAATTCGACTATGGATGACCGAGGGAGATCACCACCGACCATTTCGCGGTGTGATTCTTCGATGCCGGAAATCACATTCCGGCAACGTGCTGTCCGCAAAGCACTATCTTCCTTGGACATTCATAAGTCGAGCGGGCCGGATGGTATCCCCCCAATTGTGCTGCGTACTTGTGCTCCTTGTTGCAGTTGGCTCCGGTCTTAACGCGCCTTTTCCGGTACCTGTACTCGCTCGGCACTGTCCCGAAGTGCTGGAAGACCGCTTCGATATATCCGATCCCTAAAAAAGGCGATCGCTCTGATCCGTCCAACTATCGTCCAATAGCTATAACCTCCTTGTTGTCCAAAATAATGGAAACTATTATTAATAGCCAGCTCTTGAGGTATCAAGAGGGCCACCAGTTGATTAGCGATTCTCAGTACGGCTTTCGTCGTGGTCGCTCAGCTGGTGACCTCCTTGTATTCCTTACCCATAGGTGGGCAGAGGCAATTGAGTCCAAGGGGGAGGCGCTGGCGGTAAGTTTGGACATAGCGAAAGCCTTCGATCGGGTGTGGCACAGAGCTCTGCTCTCGAAGCTTCCAGCCTATGGGCTTCCCGAGAAATTATGCGATTGGATCTCCAGCTTTCTGGCCGATCGGAGCATCAAAGTCGTCATCGACGGAGCATGTTCCGACCTTAAACCCGTGAACGCTGGGGTCCCACAAGGCTGTGTTCTATCCCCGACCCTATTTCTTCTGCATATCAATGATATGTTGCAACTTAGCAACATTCATTGCTATGCGGATGACAGCACTGGGGATATTCTTTACACTGGCCGGGCAGGTATTTCTCGGGCAGTTGTTGATGAGTACCGGAACAAACTTGTGTCTGAAGTCGAAACTCTACTACGTGGAGTCTCAGACTGGGGCAGACAAAACCTAATCCAATTTAACCCCAAGAAGACACAAGTTTGCGCGTTTTCCGCTAAAAAAACACCCTTTGTCGCTACTCCTCTTTTCGATAACACTCTTCTTAAAGCCACAGCCAGCATTGGAATACTTGGCGTGGACATATCGAACGACGTTCAGTTTCCCGGTCACTTGGAGGGAAAGGCTAAATGAGCCTCCAAAAAGCTTGGTGTGCTCAGCAAGGCGAGGCGGTACTTCACTCCGGGCACCGCATGCAACTATATAAAGCGCAAATTCGGCCCCACATGGAGTACTGCTCTCACCTCTGGGCGGGGGCTCCCCAGTACCAGCTCCTTCCACTTGACCGTATACAACGCAGAGCGGTTTGAATCGTCGACGACCAATCCCTCTCCGAGCGGTTTGATCCTTTGGCGTTGCGTAGAGATGTGGGGTCACTCTGCATCTTCTACCGCATGGTAAACCATGGAGAGTGTTCAGAGGAGTTGTTCGGAGACAGAATACGAAATTCCACCCGTATCACCTCGTTGTCCGCCGGTCCACAACTGAGCGTTTTTCAAGGCACTTTTTGCCGCGCACCACCACTATGTGGAAGTTGTGGAACCAGCTGCCCAGTGAAGTATTTCCGAACCAATTCGACTTAAGGTCCTTCAAGAAAAGAGCGTACCAATTCTTAAAAGGCCGCGAGCCCTCTGGCATTGAGAGTGTCCATGGGCGGCGGTATCACTTAACATCAGGTGAGCCTCCTGCCCGTTTGCTCCCCGTTCTATTTTAAAAAAAAATGTATTTGTACATCTATATTCTCACTGTTTACACACTGTATACGTGCTTATGATAATATAAAATAAAAATAAATTGTGCGTGTACTAGGTGTACACACGTAAGAAGTGAAACTTCTTTATGATCTTATTTTTCGAAAAATGATCTACTATATGCAACTTTACAGAAATTCGTTAAATTAGATAAAGTTTAACAAAAGGCTTTTATTATCATAGACATGAATACAAATATTTCATTTTACCTTATTACTACGAAGATTATTATAGAATTTCATTAATTGTAATAGAATTATTACTATCATTGAAAAACGTGACGATTTGCTACAAAATTTCTCCCATACGTCGATAAAGAAGTTTCATTCCAACGCCGATAAAGAAGTTTGACTTCAAAAAGCAACATGGCGCGTAACCGAAAAATGTGACGCGTAACGAAAAAATGTTACAC